TGTGACTGTCTCCATAATTTGGCCATATGCTGTAAAAATATTAAATATTATCTGTATTTACCATTCAGGTATGTTGGACATGAGCTGGACTTGTTTTTTTTTGCTGTGAAGATGAATATTTAAGTACCATATGAGCATTCCTGATCTATGAAGCCCGTTAAAACACTGATGGGCTAAATCCTGCCCTCTAGTGTACCTGTGGACAGCTGTGCCCTGAGAATCTTCCACTCCTCCACCAGTCTTATCTGCACGAAGCAGAAAGCAGGTGGGAGATGGGACAATTCACATCTCTCATTTGCCTCCCTTCACCTTCAGAGAGCCCCACTGCTCAGCCACACACCTCTGTGGCAGGTAAGATGCACTAAAATCAGAGTATGAGGATTAGCATGCATGATAACAGAACAGAGAATACCCACCCCTTAGCAGCACGCTTGTCCCAGTGTGCCCAGCTAACATAGGCAGTCTGCCTCTCAATTACTTTACCTTATGGGACCCTGCAGGAAACACGACAGTATTTCTATGACAAAGTAAGCCAAAGACAGACATGAAACATAATCTCAGCTTTTTTTTTTTTTCTTTTTTCCCCCTTCATGAGAGCTATGGTACCCCATTCCTAAAAACCAGCTACATCCAGGAAGAATTTCTGTATGGATCATGTTGCAAAAAATCAGTATTTGACAACAGCTGAGGTCTGTGCAGTAGATCAAAGGTAAGGCCAAATGAGTCCGTTTCCAGAAAGACTTCAGTAGAAACAAAAAATTCTGACATTTTGTGCCAGATTTCCAATAAATAAATAGATAATTAAATAATCAATCTCTCATTTACTGTTAGGATTTGGAATAGGATGCCTTGTTAACAGTTCTGGCCACATCAATGGGAAACTAAAATGGGAGACGAGATGATCTGAGTCCTAAATAACTTGCACACCTAGTTACGCAAAACTAAGCATTGGGTGTGGAACGGTTACACTGAAACACTTCTTGACATTCACCAAAATCTCTGTTTCTGACAATGACAGCTAGCTTTCTTTCATTACCATGATTTTGCAAAATTTTATCTTCTTGACAAAGCTGGTAAGCTCTAAAGTCAGTACCTACTTGAACATATTCTTTCAAAAACTTTTAGAGCATAATCATTTAGACGTTGCACATGATACAAATAAAACTCACAAGTACTTATGAAAGGAACTTTCTTAAGAAGAAATTTTCCTGGACCAATATTACCCTACTTTACATTTCCCTGAGATATTTCTTGAAAGGCAGCCAGTTACTGAGCAAAAAGAAGGGATTTCAGACATCTGCAGGGTTGATGGAGCTCACACTATTGACTCCCTTCCGAGTGACAGACTGGAGTCTCATCACTTTGTTAACAAGTGGACAAAAGTGACAGAAGTGGCTCTGGATTCCTCAGATGCCTTGTTTTATGCCCATCATGAAATAGAGCAGCTTGAAAAATTATGGAAATATACAAATGCCAACCATTCCTCAGTGAGGGAAACTGAAGGGAAAACAGCTGTGCTGTTAGACATTTTCTAAAACGTATGGATACACGTTCCTTTTCCATCCCCCTTGCTTTTCCCTTTCACCAGCACTGTAGTCTCTTTGAGACAAAAAACTCCGGAGAGTTTCTGGAAGCCCTTCCAAAAAGACTGGGATCTTTGTACTTTTCCGCAACATAAACCAAAAGTTGTTGATCAACAACAAGATGTGGTTTTTTGTTTTGCTTTAAGAAACAAAACTCTAAGAAAGCCTCTTCTGTTTTTTGTTTGTCTGAAATGCACCTCTTGCAGGGGGGGAAAAAAAAATAAAACAAAAGCTCAACAGCAATCCCTAGGGTATGTCCAAAGGGGTACTTTGCTGATGTCAATGCATACACGCATCAGATGTGGCAATATCAGCAATCTCAGATGTATTGTCCAGCTTTTTCGCTATGTGAATCATAAGAGTCCACTCCTCCAGCACACAGGGCATGAACTTCCATTCCTTCATTCCACTGACGACACAATTATGAATAAACCAACATGAATGGGATGAGTGTGAAACAATCAAAACTCCTGACATCAAGACATAAACCAGACCATATACTTCTAACAAGCTGTCATTAGTGCTTAAGGCAGAACAGAGGAGGCAAAAGAAGGACACGAATAATGGAAATTTGTTTATAGCTTAAGTATTAGACTTTGGTCTGAAACATACAGAGAGAGCCATTCACCTTCTAAAATACAAAACTTCCTTCAAAAGTGAAAATGAGAATGTAATAATCAAATGCTATTCTGTATAATTAGAATCATAATTAGATGATTAGATTATATATGAATCTATAATTAGATTCATAATTAGAATCATAAGATATCCCAAGTTGGAAAGGACCCATGAGGATCATCACATTCAACTCCTGGTTCCACACAGGACCAACCGAAAAATAAAATAAAAATCATAAGAACAGCAGTTCCCCCAACGACCACTCCTAGCTGTCCTGTAGTTAGTTTCCTAATCCAAATTCTCTGCAGCCATAAGATTTCTTTTTTCAAAGCTATCTTATAAAACCTTTTATTTAATCCAATAAAACCTTCAGTGCTGGAGGTGCGCATTTTCTTTGTTAATTTTTGAAGTCTTCTCACACTGTCCAAGATTTATGGCACTTCTTTGCCAGCCGTCACGCCAACGTGACCCGCCAGGCATACCACAGGATTTCAGAGGCACTTCCCTTGAGCAGCACTCACCAGGTCAGAGTTTAACACTGCTCATAGCTGCACTGAGTGACATATTTATAACGAAGATGGCAGAGATGTGACCCACGTAATGTCACAGCAACACGCCTCACTGATGCTTTGAGCGTTGACTTCTCCCTTTTCTCTGCTTCTGAGAACTGAGGTCTTCCAAGAAAAAAAAAAAAAAGCTGTCTGATAGCAAGAAGAGGAGGGAGTCACCAGACTCAGAGCAAGTGCACAGCCTCACACCAGGGAAAGAGGGAGCAGCCAACGGAGAGTGGGCTCACCACATAATGCCCTCATCCCAGCCCATCACCTATACCACAGATCCTGAAGAGGAAAACAGCCTTCCAAGGGGAGTGCACAGAATGTAATCAGTACAGCAGTATCAACACTGGAAAGACTTTCACGTGTAATTCACTGGTAGGAAAGCAGCATGAGAAGCCAGTTAAACAATTCTACTATTAATAAGGCTTAACAGGAAATGAAAGCACAAATTAGAAAGACTCAAGAACACAGAACTAGAATTACTGAGCCAGAACATTCAAAAATTAAAAAAAGAAGGAGCAACAAGGGCAAGCCCTACCACAAACAAGAAGGACAGTGTTTGGGGCAACCTGGTCCAGCCTGGTGAGCACAGAGCAGCATGCAGACTCACAGCCCTTTTCAACACACAAGGCTGAAATGCCATGTGAGGCGAGGACCCAAGAGCAGCATCTGAGACCTGCCTTCAGCATCCAATACACCCGAGTTGTCTTTTCCCTCCATGTCGCATTTTCAGCAAATCCCCAGAGCTACTTCTAGGCATAAGATTACCTGTTTTATAAACAAATTACACTTATTTCCCGTAAGAATTTCCACATTTCCCAAATACAAAAGGCTACAGAAGACAGTGCATTACTGTACTCGTTCCAGCACAGACCTGATGCTGTGCAGTCACTGGCCAGTATGCATGCAGAGCAGGTCTTTGGCTGGTAGGTGGTAAACCAGCACCATGCTTAAGGCACAGACCTTTGAGAAGCCCAGGCTCTATGATTTACCCTGTTGTTCTGGCAGCAAACATCTTTTATTACTGCTCATGCAACACTGGGCATATCTCCCTTTAAAACTGTTACTGAGAAAGAGAGAAATGCAAACATACCAGATGCAGCCCAAAAGCTTCTTAGCTTTTTCTGGGAGCGTCAGTTGGACTAATAAACTTTCCCTACACACATCCTGTTAAACAAGCATCTTTACCCCATCTGATGCCAAACATTTCTACCAAAGGATCATGAAGTTGCACACGCTCAGAGCGAAGTCCAACCTGGCAACACTGTTATTTGTGAACAGACTGTTGCAATGCTTCTTTGGAACTCCAAGAGGTTTTTTTGCAGATGGTGAAGGTCCTAAATCAGAACAGAATAAGAAGAGTGAGAGCTTTTTGTCACTTGTGTGCCCGCACACTGATCTCATCTCCATTGCTCAGGCCTTGCCCCCACCTGTGCAACTGTCACTGGGAGGGCAGCTTGGAACCAGGCAAAGGATTACAGTAACACATTTCACCTGTTTGCTGCACCAAGGCTCTGCAGGTAGGGCACTGCCTGCTCAGGGTGCTCATGCTGTGTAACAACTGTGTCAGATTGTCAACCTGACAGCTAACCAGCAACAACTGGTACCTGCTGCAAGGAAACAGACATTTCACAGACCTGAAGCCACATGAACAAAACCTGAGGGCTGACAGCTTACAGAATGCTCTGAGGTGTGAAGGAAGGATCAGACACAGAGCACTGGTCTTAAGAGCAGCCCAAGCCCCGCCAGCAGCCTGCTCTGCCTGTTCAGGGTCTCCTCAGGACAGACTGCTGCTGCAGAACCACAGGATGCGGCTGCACCTTGTGTGCCCTTACCACATTCAATCATAAATCACACTATCCACAGTTTTCAGCCAGCGATATGCTCTGACCACTATAAGCCCTGTTTCCTTAATCTACACCTCTGTTCCCGACTACTGTAATAAGAAAATAAGAACGCCTGTATTTGTGAGAGCATAGACCAGAAAAACACCAGCTTCTTTCACCCTATGGTCAGCTGGCGCAAAGAACCAGTAGCTAAGCACCCACTTGAGGGCCACGCAAACTAGTTTTGACACCTTTGGGCGCATAGGCAAACCCCGCGCACCTGGCGAGCCCTGGGGCACAGCGGAAAGAAGACGGGGAGGCTGAGAACAGCCGGCCCGCGACACGGCAGCGGTGCCCGTGCAGCTCCGGGCACCGACCGACACGCGGCACGGGCAGGGACCGGCCGGGCCACTCACTGTGCGGATCGCTCTTCTCGCGGACGCCGTCCACCCTGCCGTCGGGGTTGATGCGCAGGAAGAAGCCGCCGTTCTTGCAGTAGAGCCGCTTGGGGTCCTTGAAGTGCCCGGGGGGAAAGGCGCCGCCGCCCCCGTCGTCGGGCAGCGCCGGCAGCGTGGTGATGCTCCCCGCCGCCCCCGCCGCCATGCGCCGGGCCCCGGTGGCTCCCCGCCGCCCCGGGCCCCCGCCGGCCGCCGCCGCCAGCCCCGGGCGGGCTCGCCCCCTGCCGCGGCCGTCCAGCCTCGCCTCGGCCTGGCCCCGCTCGGCTCTTGGCCCCTCGCGGCCCGGCCCGGGAGCTGCGCAACGCCGCTGCCGGCCGCCGGGATGGAGGCAGGAGGGCGGCGGGCAGAGAGCGGCGGCTGCGGGCTCCCCGCGGCACCGGGCTGCCCCCGCCCCCGCCCGCCCCGCTCCACTCCGCGCCCGGGGGCCGTCCCGGGGGCGGGGGCCGCTGGCTGCCGGGGCACCGGGCGGGGACACGGGGGCGGCGGGGCCGCTCCGGCGGTAGCGGGATGATGGGGCGAGGGAGAGAGGGCGGGCTGCGGGTCGGGCGGCGTCTCCCTTGGCTTTGAAGGGAGAAGTAAATCGGAGAGTTACGCGGCCGCTGTATTAAAATGCGTAAGTTTAAGAGAATAAACTCGTATGGTGCTGTTCAAATCCGCACGGTGATCACCATTTCGCTTCTATACATGCACCACAGAGACAAACTCGCTCCGCTCCATTCAGTGGCAAATAGAGCACCTGTTACCTCCAAAAGCAACACAAGACAGCTGGAGGGGCCCTCCGGCAGCCTCACCGCTGTACCTAATGTGCACGTCCTTTACCATGCCACATCTCCCGGCTGTGAGGCAGACACCTCTGCACACACCTGCTCGGCATAGAGGCTGTTTCTGCAATGCCCAGCAGCAGCACACCCACACCTGTGCCTGGGAAGCTGGGAGAGCCTTCCTGGTTCCGAGGCAGCACAGCAGCCCTAGTCCTATCCCAACCCGTACAGCAGCATTGGTTTTTGCATTCCGCAGAGCCAACATACTGCAGCTCACACTCAGACATGAACCAAAAGCAAAATACATTGTCCAGCCTATGCTATTTCTGATAATATTTTGCTAGCCCAGAGTAGTTTTGTTGCTGGCCAGCGTTCCCCCAGGTCTGATCCCTCGCAAGCCATAAGTTGTAATTCATTTCCAGAATCGGTGACAGCTGTGCTGTCCCCACACCCTCACTCTGGAGGCTGAATCACAAAGAAGGCAGCACAGGGAGCTCAGTGCAGCCTAGGGTGTCAGCTGGCCACCTCAGACATGCTGCAGGAAGGGGGTTTTGGCCTTGCTCACCAGCATCCCCATCTTTATGTTCCTCAGCTCCTGCTTCTTGCTGCCCAGCCACTTCCGATGCTTTCTGCTACTTTCCTCTAAAATCTGAATGTTATCACAGAACCCAAGAGTTTTACAGCCTCAGCCAACAGCAGAGATACTCCTGGTTCCCCCTTGCTCTTCTTTTGCAACAGAAGTTGCATTCAGGACTTCTTTTGTCTACAAAATGTAGGTTCTTCCAATGTCCTCTTTCTAAGAAGGGGGAATTATACACATAGCTGAAGGGAAAGTGTGGAAAAAGTATCATTCTTAAACCTACAAGAAGCTTTAACAAAATAGACGCTTTTCTAAAGAATAAATGTTCATAGATTTGCTTACCCATGGCTGATACTCTCTCATCAGGCCATATACATTCACACAGCATTCTACCATTGGGACTGAGGGATGGCACAGTCTAGGCAGGAGGCGACCTCATGCTGGGAGCACCCACGGCAGCACCTCTTAGCTGGCTGGAAGCCTGAATGCACGTTTTACAAGAGAGAGCCCTGACATATTCCAGATGCATCTGTAAAGAAGAATGGTAGAGACCAGCTCAGCAATGATAGGATGGCTCACCATTAATCAGCTCAAATCCCCTGCCAGGTGATCCTTCTAACAACTTGTGCAGCTCTAAGTGACCACCATTACAATGTATGGGGCTTAAGAGCTCTTGAGAAACTGGGTATTCGGACTTACAGCTGTGTGACCTCAAAATAGACAACAGAGCTGACATTCTCTCAGCTATTTGTACTCACCTCAAGATCTGTCCCACTACTCTTTTTCTTTCTAATATATGTTTGTTTGTTGTTTTTTTTTTCCCCCCATTTCTCATCTTCAAATAGAAAACATGTCAGTTTTTATTTTCTCCACACTATTTTCTCCTGTACTCCAATCTTGTAACATGGTCATTAATATTCCTCAAAACAATTTTGGCACTGGTATTTTCCTTTCTTGTGGCCTTGACCACATTACCCCCAGCACCACCCTTCCTTGGCTCAGATCTGGTGCACAATTACACCCGTACAGCAACTTCCCCTCCACCCAAGCCATTAATTAGCCCTGTTTTCAACCCCCTTTACTCACATTCTCATGGCCTACTTACAATATAGTCCACGTTAGAATGCCTTGAACCCTACCTTTCTTCTACTTAAAAAGCAAATCTTAAAGCTCTGTTCTTTAGCCTGTTCCACTTATCTAAATTGTCTACCTTTCTGTATTTGTTTTGCATTGTTTAGCACACAGGGAGGTTTTTAACTGCATACCTCTTAGAGAGAAAAACCAGCTTTGTCCAGCACAGCTCTCATGCGTCATACTGAATGTGAGGTACTCTTAATGCACATCCAAACATGGCTTGTATTCAGTATATAATGCTCAAATTTTCTGGAGACTCTCAATAGCATCATCCTCAGAATACCTAAAAACAAAGAAAAAAAAACCATAACAACTAAACAAACAACAAATTAAATAAGACATTTAGCCTTGTTACTGAAAAAAAAAAAAGCAAAAGGACCTTGAGAAACACAAGACTAACCTTTCAGATTTTTTAGATTAAGGGTAACAAACTCCATCAGCTTTATTCCTTTATTTTTTAATTCTGAATCCAAAGTGCAAGACTCAGGTCTATGCCTTTGCCAGACTTCCTAGCAGGTACTACCACAAATCCTGCCATACCACAACCCCAAGAAATTTCAGTCCCCTTTTTATTTCCTTCATTGTGCTGGGACCGTGTGTGTGTGACCAACGCACTGTGCAGACATCACAACATCACAAGGCTGCAGTCCATCTTTGAGAAGCATGAGAAAGATCTGATTGACCATAAAATTAAACCAAACAAACAACAACAACAAAAAAAAGCCCTCACTTTTGCAAAGAAAATTAAAGCTACTGGAAATTAACAGGACACGTGGACACCTCAACTACCTCCCCACCATTAAGACATGCCAGCGTATGGCTTGCATCAGCACAGCAGCAGGAAATGCCTCCAAGTATAAAAGATATATTACTGCTTAACTTGAAATATGTCTCTTTCCTTCAATGTCTGAGCATGAGTTTAAGAATTCAGTAGGAATTTATCCTCCAGAATGCTCAGTTCCTTCAGCATCCACAGCTGATATTTCTACTGTGAGTCAAAATTCACATTCTCGGGAGCTTATTCAGATGCTTCATCTGCTTTGTATGATGGAAGCATACAGCCACAGATCTTCCTCTAACAGTCTGAATTCATCTTCTAAGTGCTCATTACAATAAAATGCAGCCTCATTTTTTGCTCTCCTACTATTTTTAAGTGCAGTTTATTTCAAAAAGTTTCTGTATTTTAAGTATTAATTCATATTATTAATTGCCTGAGAAAGTCCTCTTGCACAGATATATTTTTTTCCATGCAACATAAGCTCAGCTTTTCATTTACATTTCTGATGACTTTATAACACTTGCTATGCCTTTCTAAAAGAAAATTTTCCAAATATATGCTTAGTTCAAATACAACGACATATGGCCAAAGCTTTGTTTTGGGCTGTCTTTACAAATGGCTGATGCTGGAAATATAGCAGGCCAAGATGGCTGAAGATAAGAGGACTAACAAACCGATGAGGCTTAAATTGGAAGTAAATCAAGTTTGTTGTGGTCCAAAATGATTGCACTTGGAAAAAGAACTAGACTGTCTAGAAGCAGTGATAGCTGTTGCAGATGTAAGAATGAAGTAGTGACCTCAAACAAGAAATAATGTTTCAAAAAGAAACATTATGGAGGTTAAAGTTCAGAATCAGCAGTTACCATTCTCCCTCTAGTTTATATGCGTCTAGGATCTCTGTACCCACGTTACATACAGTAATACAATAAGTCAGCAAAATTACTCCAGAAAAAAAGTAAGCAAAATCAATTTAAAGTCAAGATTGAGAATATGCAAGAAAAAAAAAATAATAATTTTTAAAAACAATCTGAAATCAAACTTGATTAACTCAAAGAATGAGTTCACATTGGATTTCAAGGAAACCCACATTCGTTAAGATACAAAAATCCTTAGTAGGAGCAATACTAAATCCACTTCTTTCTCACAGCACTACATTATAACTGTATATCATCATTTAGTCATTCACTGCTGCTGATCTCATGCCACTGGAAAGGCAGGGGCTGGAAGGTCTCTGGTCTAGCTGCACTTCCTATCTGCACCACAGCCGTGGCTGAGCTGCCTCAGCACAAGCTCGAAGTCAAGGCAGTTTAATGTTAAGTTGGTAGTTCCACCACTTGTCCCAAAGCAACTGTCTCTGCTTATTACTCAGACACATTAGTTTCATTACATCCAACCGCTCTGCTCAAACAAGGCTACTTAGATGCAAGTTGCAAAAATTCTACTTGCATGAGTTCTAAATATTGTCAGTATAAAGACTTCCACAACAGCTGAAGACTACTCTGGGAAAACACGTCTACCTCAGAGCATTACACAGCCTAACAAGCAATCAGGAAATAGTGGAAGATCTATGGCTGAATCTTTTTCCTCTTGTAACTTATTCTCTTGTCTTACAAATTTCCTAAGATTCAAAACTTCCATATGAGCTAATTCTGCAGCAAATCAAATCATTCGAAGGACTGCATATATAAAAATATAGGTGTAGATAGGGCACATATTCTTCCTGTTCACTAACATATTGTAGTAGAAGGTCAAACTAATTTCAGGAGGAATACAGGAAAAAAAAAAATACTATTCCCAAGGAACAGGAGTTACCACATTATGCAGCTTTTGTCATTTCACATTTAAGAGCAAGGAGAGATGAGATCAGTGAGATGTTACAAAATAAACACTATTAAAATTGTTTATTAAAATCGTTATT